TTGATCAAAATAGTTTTTATTATTATATAGCTTTGTATAATAGCTCCAAACATTCTATTCAAATGAATATATTCTTTCCACTTACTAAATTCATTACTTTCTTCAAACTTGCCTCAATTATAGAATTTGAAACTTTATTGCATACACTGGGTTCTATATCATTTACTTATGTAAATGTTTTTATTAAAAGTATACATTGCTATCAAAATTAATTTGGGTTTGCCTAGAATCATGTTAGACAAGCACAAAGAAATCTTTTATTTGTATAAATATCTTAATTTATTTATGGCCATTTATATAAATAATGAATTAAACTTGTGTTTTATCACCATAAGTCAAGGTCAAAGATAAGAAAAGACCTAATTAGAAGTCATGTTTTTTGTTTATCTTATCTTAGAAATTCAGCATAAATATAATCAAGTCAATTAAAGAAAACAGTAATATATATACAGTTCTCAATAAGGGAATATACCCACCAGTGAAAATTCTTCAGTAATTTTTTTCTCATTTGAAAATTATGTTTACTCTACCATATTCAAAATCTATTTAATAGAATACAAAACCTTTAAATAAACACTTCACTACTTACTTTGATCTGCGGTTTCTCTCCCTCTCCATCTTGTAAGTTTAATCTCTATTTAATCCAAAAACAAGTACGAAAACAATTAAATATCGAAAAAAAACACAACTTCACCAAAAACTGTAATGGGTGAACAATATGGCTGCCACAAGCTTAGTTGGTAGATAAGGTTTATATTTGAAGAGAAGTTTAACATGAAAAGTTGACAAGCTGGTAGAGTTAAAGTCAGTCACCTGAGTCAGGTAACAGTAGAATGTAGAGTAGAAGTAGGTTGGGTCTAATCAATGTCAATACAGTATATCACCTATTAATCACACCAATACTGTAAACACACCTAGTCCTTCTATATTAATCTACAGTACTAATTTAATACTAAACTTCCTCTACTAACTTCTTCTATAGTCACATCAATTATACACAAACACAAACTTAATTTATTCAGCTGTGACGTAGCCACCTGTAAGACACCAATAAAGTATTGAGTCAAACTAAGAACACCACCAGCCACAGCAACTGTTAGGTGGTTTTTACCTCCTTGTCTCTCTTCTTTACCTCGAACTGACCCTCTATCTCTGTTTAATGATAATTATACAATTCATTGGCTGTCCACCAACTATTATCTATTAGACAGTTATAAAGAGACAAGTTTGGTGTCTTGTTCAGCCCCTACAGCTTATCTAGGTTTCCTCTATTGTTCTAGGTCAAGCTTGGAGAAGCACACACAATATAACCTCTATACACATTTGAACTAAATACCACACATTCTTTTTAAAGAGAACATTATGCAGGCTATTTTAACACATTTCTCATGAGAATTTTACATATTAATATGTAATTTTATCTGATCTAAACCAGAGAGTTCAAATCAAAAATGGAAATTGTTCTAAATAAAAGTGTTCTGTATGAAAAAGAAAGCAGATTTTGGTTTTTGGTCAGTAATATTATGTATAGGGTTGTGTTTAGTCATGCTCAAGTAGTAAGTAGGAGGTCCCAAACCAATGATAAATACCAGTCCATAGCCTGTAGGTAAATGTTTGTCAGTTAAGGAAAAGCTGGGGAGATTATGAGTTACAATTCATTTTAACATGAATATTTAGTTTGTGGGACAATTCAGTAGGTAATAAATATTATTAAATTATCCATATTTTGCAATATTTCTACTTCTTTAATAGTTGATTTCAGACAAACTTTAACTAATTGTAATTCATTATCTACAGGAATGTTTTCAAGTGTATTGCTTTAAAAGTCAGAACAATTCTACATTTTAACAACTAGTGGACCTTGTGTGAGCTTTTAACGAATAAATTATACAATGTCTGGGATATAAGGTTTTCTCTGAATGCATAATACACTGGTAGCAGTCAAATATGAAGGTGACGTTTATTCTGTTATTGAAATAATTAATTATCTATCAGACAAGAAAAACTGAGATCACATATTATGTAAAGATATGCAAGTCAAGCCATAGCCACAAATAACCAGCAGACATCATATCTCTGGCACCAATCAATTGTATATGAAATCTTTGCCCTTTTATGCGATGTGTTACAACTACAAATTTTCAATTGGATAATAAATGAAATGAAACGACTGACAAAATAAGATACGCAGCGTGATTTATAGCTAAAAGTCACTGAAATAACATAAGAATATGGTCCACTTTGTGTTCCATAGAAATTTTCTGCTAACACAGAATCCGCTAGTTGATCACGTGACTTCATTCGTTGGATTACATTCTAGCAGATGACACTTGGAATTCCAATTAAAGCTTGGGATTATAAGGAAATTCGGCGGATAAAAAATGGTGACGTTTGGTAATAAGTGAAATCCGCCATTTTGTATTTGTGAAAGTATACATTAATACATTTTACCTTGCTTGAAACTACTGGATTCATTCTACTAGCTGACATTGTAGACAAAACCCATGTTTATCAAAACAAACTAATGCGGAGGTCGCGCAAGGTCGCTCATGTAAATTATTAATCCTTTCCGGAAATCCACGAATAATAGGTTTCCACGAAATTAGGTTACTTGACTGTACTGATAGTTTTAGAATGTCTTTGCGTCGTTAATATATGCTTTTTTGTAAGTTTACATTTCCCTCGTAGAAATTTCAACCCCAAAAAGTCACAAATTTAGTGAAAATGGGCCTCTGTAAATTTTGAAGACATAATGTCTGCGGATGTTTATATTTTTATCAAAGCAAAAACATTTTAAGACTAACAGTACCATTTTGAGGCGAACAGTACCATTTTGAGGCTAACAGTACCATTTTGAGGCTGATATTCCAATTCTAATAAAATAATGGAAAAACTTCTTAATTTGCTCAGACAATAAATGGTCATTTTGGACCCAAATGCCCTTTTTTCTAATAAGTTAAGTCCAAAAATCAAAAGAATTGAGTGGGAATATAATAAGCAATACTAAATTTCTAACCAACTGTTCAAATTAAACTCGTTCAAGCTTGGACAGAATGTCCCATATCACCCCTATTAACTGCAACAACGTTATACTATTATAGTACAATGTAAGCCTAATATAAAAGAATTTATCTATATTAGATATCCACGTAAATAAATCAAATATCAAAGATTTAGAAAAGGAGAGAATCGGGGATAACATCACACGTGGAATGCTTAGGTAAACAGTATTCCTCGTCTTATCAGTTATTGACATGCGTAGCGTCTTGATCAGCCAGTCAGCCATTTTTATCCAACTACTGAATTCAAAGCGATACAGCTCTCATTCTGACACAGATTCATCGATTAAAATATGTTCTTTCGACATGTTTCTAAAAATGATATTTATAATTAAACACCTACCGTAGTTTATTCCTGTTGTTCGGATGTATAAACTCCTTTTAACGTGGTTGAATTCTGTGTCAAAATTGTCATTTGATCATTTTCTGACAATTCCACTCAGAAAGTTCGGTCCTGTTTTATCATGAATCGAGTTTACTTGGTGCAAACCACGTTGTCAGTTTCTAAATTTATTCAATATTTCACAAGAACAGAAGTAACACTGCTACAAATTCCTTAGAACCCTTCAAACAACTTGCGTAATATACTTAAATTTACAATAAAATTACCTCTATGAAAGGACATAATTTATCTGGTTCGATACGTAATCAAACAGCTCAAGGTACACTCCCGTGACTTCCGTTTACGCGCATGTGCATACCTTCAGAACTCAGTCTAAGAGCCCCGCCTACAGTCTTTGTGCCATTCCTGTAGTGCTTCCAACTTCCACATAATTGAATAGAAATCTCACAGTTGAATTCAAGCGTACTTTCTATTCAGAATTAAATGAGGAAAATGTATAAAATTATACAACATTGTATTAATTTGTATTTTATCATATAATTCTGTCAGAAATAATTTTGATACTACTACTGACAGAACTTTTTAAGTTTAAGAAAGCTATGGTCTTGATAATGAAATTGTTATCATTTAAACTTTAAATAGGATGCTAATAATGATTTTACAAGAGGGGGGTCTTGCTGACAAAAGAGAATTCTGTGATTATTTTAAATAGACCATTCAATCTAGAACTCCCTCTTGATTGTAAAATTTGTATTGAAAATGCCTTTTTATGACATGATTATAGGAGAATCAAGTAAAGCCCAGAGCGAGTTTCTAATGAAATCCAGAATAAATGAGAAGGTTTGAATGGTTTTAAGTGGAATATAATGTTAAGGCCAATGTGAGTGTTTAGTAGATGCATACCATTGTGAGCTATTGGTTTAAACCAGTACAATTGTTGAGAGGAATCCAATATAATCACAAATTTGAGAATCCAGTAAAAGTATCAATGTGAGTTTTGATGGAATATATTACAAGCATCTGTGAGAGTTTTGAATGGAATCAAGTATTAGTTTTGAGTTGAATCTAGTTTAAGGCCCAGTGTGAGTGTTTAGTAGAATGTACCATTGTGAGCGTGGAATCCAGTTCAAGTATCAGCATGGGTTTTGAGTTGAGTTTTTAGCATCCTGACTCTTTGAGACTTTCAACAAATGCCAAGTAGACAAACCCAATTGCATATTGGTATCCTAGAAATGTAAGCATGCCCATTCTTGCTAGTTATACCCCCAAGCTAATTGGTTGTTAGTTTGTACTTCAGTAGAATCATCATCTTATAATATTGGTGTGTAATAAATATACTATATGATCAAATGTAATGAGGACTCTCCAAATAAGATATACATTATTGAATGTGTGACCAAATTCTCCAAACTTTCAAAAATAATGAATGGTAAACAGAAGCAATCATAGGATTTTGATTTGTTAAAATTGGGGACATTATCTTCTGATTGCACTATTCATTCAGATTTTCTGTCTGCAGGACCTTCTATAAACTGTACAATCCAGTAGTAATAATGCCAATAATCACATTTTCTGGAAATACAGGAACTCCAGATGAGGAAAGAAAATTTGAATAAGTCAAAAAGGACCTATAAGTGTCACTAATTTGCTAGTGAAGTCTAATATTTTAGCAGTTGCAAAGGCAATAATCCACAGTTTTAGCTCCAAATCATTTTATCAACCATCATTGTCATGATATGTGAGAACATTTATTATGATAGCATGGAATACATTAATCTACATCTATATTTATTTACATTCATAACAAAACAAGTTTTACAAATAATAGAGTGTGAAATAGATAAAATAAATAAATTGGTGACAGTTGAATCTATCAATCTGCTAAAGTGTTGGACGGAATGTGGTTATGTACACCAGAATCTAAAATAAAATTATCTCTGTAAAAGATTATACATGTATTAATAATCCAAGATAGGAAATCTATCAACTCACAATTTCTTTCAAATCTTCAATAGTATATATACAGTACACATGTATAAGAGTAAAATGACCATAGTATTGTCAAGAAGTAAACTTGAGTTCAATTCAAGATTTCAACATATAATTTCACATTTGCTTTTGATACCAATTTTTAAGACAAAAGAATGTGAAATAGGTGAACTCTACCTTTATATTGTATAATTAATATTAAACATATACTTCATAACCATTTGATTTGTTTTCTTTCGCTCTTCTTTCAGATATTCTTCTATAGTTCTCTAATTCCTGTAAATTATATAAACTGATACTAACTAAACAACGGGATAGAGAACCTGATACAAACTAATGCTAGTGGATAACAACTTGCTGATACGTTTTTCAAATATCTATTGTTCAGAAATATATATTTGGTTTGTGAAGCTTTAAGATTGTAAGAATAAGAAATCAACTGACCCCATCCTTTTGTGATCTAAGAGCATCTATAGCATGTTCTGCAAACTGAACATCTTTAGCAGGATCCTTTACAGTAGCAGGATTATTGGTATTCTAAAAAACAAAAAGTTCTTAGCTGAATAATGTTGCAAATATGGGGAGATTTATTTCCTGAATATCTGACTTGAGTAACCTACAACAGTATAAAAGAAAAGTTGTGGGGATTTCAGAACAGGTGGAACAAGGGAGGTAATCTTATCTAATGTCGAAATTTGGTGAAATCTGCACATTATTGAATAGATGGATATGGATGATGCCCAATTCAGTGTGCAATGAGGGAAAATTACCACGACAGGCTATCAACAGGATATCCCATCTCAAAGACAAATGAAGACATCCAGAGACAACCACAGGTCATCTCAATCAGTCTATGATTAAGAAAATTATAATAATTATACCTCTTGAGGAAAATATCCTGTGAATGCCACTTTCCATAATTCCATTGGATTCCTAAATGAATAAATTATTCATCATAGGTAATTATAATAACCTGTCAATCACATCTTTTTAAAGATAGTTTCAAAAACTTACTTTATTTTACATAACATATCTTAAAAGAGAGAGCCTTACTTTTACTGCAGATACCTGGCTTTGTCATTCATTTGATTTTGAATGTTCCAGAATGGTTGTATGACTAATTTCATATCTATCTCATTGATTGTGCATATAAATTGTGAATACATACGGGTACATGCTGTTTCTTATAGGTAATTTTTTACTTACTTGGCATGTACACGACCTATATCTTGTTCTGATAATGGTGGATTACCAATTTGTTGTAAGGAATCTTGACCTACTGGAACATGAATTGGCTTGTTTAAATCTATCTGCATATTTTTACTGAAACGAATAAATGAGGCAAAAATAATAATGTAGTGGATAAAATCAATACAAAAAAAAAAATGATAACAATGAAAAGTGTAGACATTGAAGATTTTTAAGCAAGATTATAACATCCTCTGATTACTTACCTTGCTGTAGTATCAAATAGATGATGACTTATCAAGGCTCTTGTCTTTGCTACAAGTTGTTCTTGTTTGGTGCTGAAAAACTAAGAATTAATACAATATACAATTAGATGAAAAGAAGGCTATACAATAATATTTCATGAGTAATGTTGGCAGTGAATTCATTTAACAGACAACGTTTAATGTCTTATTATCTCCCTTTGACTACAAAAAATGAAGAGACACAGGTTCATGCAGGATTTTCATTTACGCTTTAACAGTTTACATATGGAAGGAAGTTGCCTCCAAATAATAAGGTTCTTTGTCACCAGCTTTCAAATAATTTTATATACAGTCAAATTTGTACATGAGCCACTCTGCTTGGTTGATAACATTCAAATTGACATTTCCTAGGAACATATTACTTTCTGACAACAGGTTCTTGGTTGGACATTATAAGTTAATTATGTGAAAATTTACTATCTCAACACTATGGTCATAGACTGTGTGAAATAATTGATATACTAATATTTATACCTGTAAAGTGGCACCGTTTGTATGAGCCACAAATCGTAATGTTTTAGTTATCACCTTTCTTTTCTCAGAATCCATGTCCTGCAAAATAACATGTATAAGGTACATTTTTACATTATTTACTGACCTTGTTATAGAAATATGTTATGTCACTGGAGTATTAAGACAGCCAAACCAAAAACATGTGAATTAATTAATTGCTAAGGTAGAATCTTAAATCAATTTGTAGCATAAATCATTTATCAAAATCAAATCTTTTATATTATAGACAAAATTTCCACTGATCGTACATCATTAGTATTTTCAATTCAATTTTCAATACCAACTACCAAATAATGAAAATTCAAGACCACTTTAGTATGAAAAGGAATGGACCCTTACCTGAAAGATATCATATTTGGATCCAACTATAACTGTAGGTATCAATAATGGATCTAACATATTCTTATCCTATAATATAAAAACATTGTTTTATTTATCATTCTGTTTCAATCAAAGTAGACCATATCACTACTTAGTAAAATTTAAAAACATTAACTAGAACAGTCAGAGCCATGTCCTCCATTTTCGTTTTTAAGTTCTGAAAAGACCATAGATGTACATAAATACTGTGAACCAACAGCTGAACTACATTGCAAGAATGTCCTATTCAAAAGACAAGGTTATTAAAAAATATTGCTCTCTTTCCATTCAATCATTCAAAATGTAATATCAGGACATTAGACTTACTGGATGTTCTTCACCAACTCTTTCCCAAGCTTTTTTCTGAAGAATTTCTTTTATATCAGGTTTTTCTGATTTCATATCACTTATACATTGAGATATTTTAGATCGAGCAGCAAGTAACAAAGTTTCTAATGTACACCACATTTCAGTAGGTGTAGATAAATCTAAAACTAGAAATAGGCTTGTATGTCTGAAATATTAAATAAAAATAATATGGAGAGATGCAAATCTATTTTGTTTTTTATTGAAATTACAAACACGAACGTAGTTCACAGCCATTTTGAATCACTACCTGAAAGTCAAATTTTTAATAACGGTATAATATTTCAATAAACAAGTCTTTGTTAAAATATTATAACTTTTTTTTAAACTTTCAACTTATTAAGTCCAGGTAGAGATTCAAAATTGTTGTGAACTACGTTCTTGTGTGTTATTTCCATGTTAGAACCATATGTAGTTTCGTATGAAGCACAAGCTTCACCAAATATTCTAAAAAGAATTCAATCTGTTTAATATATCAAAGTTAGATAATGTTTACTTACAAAACAGTTTTTGGATTCAATGGAATATCCATCAATTTAGTTAACCAAGTTCCACCACCAAGTTCCCAAATATGACCAACATCCTTTGCCTGTAAAAAAACATTTTTTTATTTTAAACATTTGGATTCTGTTCTATTTTTTTTTTATTATTAAATATGAATTCTTTAATTTTCTGACAAGAATATCTAAAACAAAATGATCATATGAAAGGATAATAGAAATAATATATAAGTTTCTTACTATATTATGACCTTTAGCTCTTCTGCCAAATGTATATTCTAAGGCAACAGTAGGTTTGGGAGCCTCATCCCTAAAATGAAACCATAATAATATATACCGGGTAGCTAAATGATCTGCCAGCTTCCAAAGGTTAAAAATTATGAACTTTCCAGCTCTCATAACAACTTCAACTTGTTCAAATCACACAAATATTTTTTGATGAAAATTAACAACTTCTTTTTTACATTAATTAGAATGATCAGTAATAGACTTACCTGTCCAAAAATCTTAATATGATAGAAGTCTTTCCCTGAAATCATTCAGTGTATAACTTTATGACAAAAGATATAAATTACTAGTAAAACTAGCAGGCCTATGAGAATGAAAAAAAGTGATATATATTATCCTTTCCAAAGAGTTATATTTATCAAAGAGCAGCTATGAGAACTGTCCTAAAAGGATGCAGAGTGGTATTATGTGTTACAGTAGAGTGAGTATGTAAAGTGTAGGTCTATAACTAATTTCTATCATATCAAATCAGATTAAAAAGAATGAAAACAACCTTTGCCATATGAATTTATGCACAGCGATAGTCAAACACATTACAAGTAAGGAAATAAGCCCACTAAAATAATAAAATCCAAATACTTACTGAATTTTTACTTCCACAAATCAAAACAGCAGATTCTTCAGAAGGCTGATTTTCTTCTGCAAGATAATTAGAAATAAATGAGCTACTTGATATCATGAACAAACTTCATTATTAGGTCATGGTTTACATGACTTGATAATCATTGATGTCCCATCTTACCATTTAAGTGTATGAAGTTTGAAGACTTATCAAATTGCTAAGGCAATAAATTAAAACTATTCCAGATTAAACGATTTTGTACAAAACAAATTCCTATAGGTATTATCAAATAACCTACCACTACAAAAAATAATTTAGATTTATAGATATAAGGCAAAATTAATTTTACCTTTGTTTCGTTCTTGTTCCAAAGCTAAATCCCACAAGTTTTTATCCATTTTCCTAAATGAACAAAATATATGATCAATATTAAAGTCATATGATTCAACTAAAAGAGCTCCTATGAAACCAAAAGGATTCCACAAAGGGACAGAATCGCCATTCGTTTGAGACCAATCATACCTAAGTCTCAGACAGGAGATTTTTTTTAAATAAGATAATCAGTAATACTAACAGTGTTCAAAGCCTCTTGTCAAAATTTGAGCTTTCAAATCCTTGTGTGTCCAGAATTATTTAAAGGTGGGACTGTAATGGGATATGGGTTGACTATAACCCTTCTTACTTATCAATCCATTACCTCTATCAGTGACTTAGTAGGCCTTGCAAGAGAAGTAATTAAGTAAGCCTATTAAAGTATTATCATCAGTTAGGTTCATCATAACTAAAATAAATCATGATAAGTAAAAAATTTCCACTGGCAATAATTGAATATGTTGTCAATGGTTGCTCAATACATCATGTAAGACATACCGAACCACATTTGAAAGATAAGAGATCAAACAGGATATACGAACAGTTTTTCTACCGTTAAATGAAACTGTTTTTTTTTTCTAGTTTTATGATTTTGTTTACCTTAGGAATTTCGTACCGGAAGTACATGGTCCGTACAATTACGAACAAACTAAAACACCGCGAATGTAAACTATTATTGAATTATAATGATTTATTTCAAAAAATAATGTTTCAAATATATTAGTCAAACTTTATCTGAACATTTCTCACATTGTTAAGCATAAAACATAATTATGCAAAACAATTCTGCCATGAAATTTATGGGTGCGTTTCATAATTTCCTTCAGTTGTACGGTGCATTTTCCAAAATGGTCGAACTCGAGTTGTATTTGCGTGAAGATGGATATAAAATATTGTCTAAAGCAAAGATCTTAAACGATGAAGACTCAAAAAATGACCCAGATGATGACCCTTACAAGTCTAAATATGCCGCCAGAGAACTCTACCAAATTGTCAAAAATAAGGTGGAAAATCTCAGAATTAACGATTGCGAAGATGAGCTTGCCGTCAAAATTCGAAAGCTGTCAACTGCAATTTCTCTGAAGTTGGCCATTAATTATGAGGAAACGGAAGAATTGTCTACATCAGAAGAGTTGTTGAATAAATGTTTAGAAGATGTAGAGAAATACAAGATGCAGCATGATTGTGTTAATTTGTATCAAGCAGTTTTAAATCAATTGGCAATCCTATGGTCGCATCGAAGATCTTCAGAGAAAGCTTTGAAATACCTAGAGCTAGCAGAAACTATATTTAAAACTTTTAAACAAGAGGAGGGTGACAGTCCCATGATGTGTTCAGAATGGCTGGAAACTATTGAATATGATGAAGAGAAATTGTTGAGAGAAAGGGCTGCTAATTTTGAAAATACATACACCTTGACATTATATTATTGTGCTCAAGTTTTTACTCAACTTGATGAGAAAAGTAAGGCAGCAAGATATTGTCATGTAACTTTACAGCGTCAGTTGAATTCCATGAAGTATGATCCAATTGATTGGGCGTTAAATGCTGCTACACTTTCGCAATACTACATAACAGAAAATATTGTTTTAGCTCGTCATTGTTTAGCTGCAGCAAGTTATGTTTTTAGTGAAGCTCACAATGATTCAGATATTGGTAATGACAAAGATCTTTATGACCAGAGAAAAGCAGATATCACAAGATGTTGGATAAAATATGGTTTACAGATATTAGATGCCTCTAAAGACTATTTAACAGAGGAACTGGCAGATTTAGATGTTTGCTCTGAAGCACCTGAAAGCAAAATATTCTCTAGAGCAAAGGAAGAAGATGATTCAAATGACCCAAATTCAAGTGATGACTATGATATACAAAACATAAGTCAGAAACATCTGCGTTTTGATCTAGAATTGACTGTGCATGAAGAGAAAATTACTGATAAACCTGTACTGGTGTTTGATGATGCAAGAAAAGTTTTTCTGCAAATTCAAGAATGGATTCAATCAGCAAAGGAATATTATACTATGAATGGACATTGCTCAGATTATATTCAGCTAGTTCAAGATCATAGTTCAGCATTCAAACATTTGGCATTCTTTGAATTGGATATGGATAGACAATGTAAAATGCATAAAAAGCGTATTGATATGTTGTTAGAGATTGCTAATGTTATAAATCCACAGCATTATTTATTGGCTAAACGTCAATTAATATTTGAAGTTGCTGAAACATATTCGTCAATGGCTGATCTTAAGCTGGCTAAATTAGAATCTGAACCACGATCTAGAACTCCTCATGCTGTAAATAAAATTAATCAGTTGGCTACACATGGAATAGAGCAGTTTCAGGCATACCTTGACTCCCTTAAAGACCCCAAAACAGGATTTCCATCTAAATTAAGTGAAAATGATGTAAGACCGGCTCTGGTTGCTAAATTCTGTATGGGTAGACTGTATTCTAAATTAATATTTCCTGGGGTGGAAGAAAAACTTTCAAATTTTTTGAAAAGTCTTGAGCATTATAAATTTGTTGTAGATTATTGTAAACAACATCCAGAAGACCAGGATAAAGTTACTCATGAATATGACATTTGTGTTGAAATGGTGGAATTGCTTCCGTTAAAGATGGAAAGAATTAGGCAACTGAATAGTTAAAAGACCATTTTAGGAAATACTTAATGTCAACAGGATATGTAGAGAAAATATGTGTATTGTTTTTATCTATTCTATTTTGTAGCTTTAAGCTGCTTTAAAGCCTTCAATATTGTTGGAAGTAAATTTTCTTTACTGAAGATATTTTCATTTTGCAAGCATGTGTTTTTTCCAGTTAATTCATTCCTACCAACATTGACCTATTTTGTTATTTATTAAATTTGTGTGATATTAAATGTATTGTTCATTGTAAACTTGTGTTTTCTTTTTTTCCCTCAATAGTACATGCAAGGTGGTATATATGTTATCTTGGATGAGTTATTTGCAGTGAGAACCATGTCAGAGGGGCAGACATGGAAGAGAGACAATAAAGTGAGGCCCTGCGTGCTATAGGCTTGACAGTTGGAAACTCCATTTTTTTCATTTTTGCAGTGACAAACAAAATAAGAACTGTTAGTGTGGATAGACTATGAATGACCAGTTAGTATACACCAAATTGTTATATCGGTATGTTTTCTTCTTTTATGCCCCTCCACAATGAGCAATGTGATACAGAACACACTTCCTTCCTTTATGACTAAATAAATAAAACATTTCAGTGTAAATAACAATTTCTCTTTTTTCTCTGTATGTTTGAAATGAACATAGTGTTGTTGATCAATTCTGATTAGATATATGGTTATTTTTACAAAAAGACTAACATAATGATACATTAGGTACATTGTTATGATATATATTATAATATATAGATGGACATAACATGATATTTCATAGTTCACTTTGCTGAAATAGAAATGCACAAATGATTTTGATAAACCATGGTAATAGTTTCTTACATATGTTTTAGTCACTATGTAACCCAGTATCCAAATTAAACACAAAATTCTAAAATTACATACTAGTTAATTTTAACTTTTCTTCTTTCAATGAATTGAAACTCTTTAATCCAGCATAATATAAAAAATCTCATATGGTAGAAAGGACGGAATAAAGATCAATTCAATCTAAAAGAAACAATGAATACATCTCTTAACACATTCTACATAAAATTTAACAATGCCAATATTAAGAAACTGTTTAAATAGTAGGTATGTCTCTGTCAGATATGGTCATTTAATTGTAATTAACCAAACTGAGTCTGGTCAAATAAACAGTACTGGTAATTATATGCATAGATCAAATTCATAATTTGTGTTGTAATGTTTCCATATTCTATATTTTTTACTCAATTGGAGTGCAGCTACAAATTCAATTCAAAAATAGTTTAGTCAACAAGCATTCTATTCAGGTTTGAATTACTGACATTTGAATATCTTTAAGCATCAGTAATACTTGGACCTGACATTTGCATAGAGGATCGTTTTTTATTGAGTACAGTAAGACTTTACATATTCAAATAGACTATTGAAGTATCATTAAAACCCAAGATTTGAACATTCGAATAATATAGAAATATAAATAAAAACTTGACATAGATTGATATAATGTTATAATTGAAGTTAAGATTATGTTCATATTTACATAGTAAAATATAGATATTTCACTCGAAACTTTATATATAGCTTTCTAATATAAAATAAAGATAATATGAAAATATATAACAATATGAAAGATAGTTTTATAAGAAAGGTTTTTAACATGGTGACTAACAATCATTTGTGGAACAGATAAAGCCAACTAAAATCTTCTTATAAAAATTGTATAAATGCATAAATGAAAGAGTGTTCTATAGTTCCTTGTTCACTATCCATGGCACATTATAAAATTTCCTTACATCACACTGATAAAAATGATCGTAGATTTATATGGTACTAAAAAACCATTCTGTAAATCGACGAAGTTGAGCGGCTGCAGTTTGTGATTCTTCTTGAAGACGGATATTTTCTTCACGTAAATTTTGAACTTCATTTTCTAAAGCAGAATTCTTTTTATGTTCCTGTAAAGAAAGATGTATTATTTTTAACATCATGATTAGTTTAATTTTACAGTTAGGAAAGACCATGTTATTACCATACAGCTTCAATCTATTGTATTGTAAACCCTAACGCAAACCCTGTTACCAGGCTAAACTGTCACATGTTTCACACAGTCATCATAGCTAAACATTTCTAAGATATAATCATTATTATCCTATAAAATCATACCTGATCTAATTGTTGATGTAACTGTACAAATTTACTTTGTAATTCTTGTACTTGTTCTTCTGGGGTGGCAGCTAGTGACCTCCACATCAACTGACTAGAAATAAATTACATTAGTTTTAACTTTCACTTCTTAAAATGAAAACTAGGTGAACACTATATTCAAAAATGTTTGTCTCAAAAACTGTGTTCTAGCAGATATTCAATACATGGTATACACTCAAAAAAACTTTAAAGAGTTTCTGATACTTTGAGTGACTTCTATTGAACCTCTTTGGTCTAGATAGAGCTAATGGATAAATAATGTATTATTAACAGTGTGTATGTTGATTGGGGGTAGTTATCACACATGTCTCATTTCTAGAAAACATTATAGTGACCGTAATGTGACCAGTAGATGTGTTGTAAGGTGATACCACCAGACAGATAATAATGTAAAGTGATAATCTTACCTAGTTTCTGATGCATTGTAAGGTGATAATTGTTTATCTTGTGGTGAAGGGGGTCGTGGAGGAGGTTCATCATCTTTATTACTATTAGGTTTTCTAGATGACTCATCTATCAAATAACAAATAGATTGATAAAAAATAACAATTAACATACAATAGTCAATACAAAACAGCTGACATATTTAAATATGTTTATATTTTTAGCACGTTTTATAGGATAAGTATCATTTACTTTAAATTTAGTAGATTAAACCTTACAGGATGTAGCGACTATCAAGAAGGACTCATATAACAACTAAACAAAACACTAAAATGTATTGTTTGGCATTTGTATTTTAATTTTAAAATAAGATATTGGGGAATAAAAAATATTGTTACCTCCTATAGCTTTAGTAGCAACATGAACTAAATCACTCCAATCTAGACCAGCAGTAGAATCTGGTATAGGTACTGTTCTACCATCAACTACTGTTGTCCTACTTCTTGGTCGTGATGATACACTCATCATAGCTCTTGGTGATAATCTACAAACATTACAAATAAATACACCTTAATTCATTTAAAAAACAATAGTATGTTCAAACGCCAACTGAAATTCTAAACATTTATCATTCTATATGTACTTTTAATAAAACAATAAATATCTTCTTGTGTTTGGAATTATTGGATCAACTTAACTAGAATCAGTTACAATATGAAATCAGTCAAAAAGAAATATATCTTATGTATAATAGTTTTTTACTATCCGAAGATAGTTTTTATTATATTAACACTATTCTAAGATATGAAAGGATATTTACCTCTGTTCTTTAGACAATTCCTCTTTCTTAGTTGATGTAATTTGAGGTGGTAAAACTGAAGAGTATTTATCATTTTCTCCTATAATACCTTTACTACTATGTAAACTTTCATCAGACATTGTTCTTTGTAACTTTCTTGATCTACGACTATCATTACCATTCTAAAATATGTTATATTATAATGTAACTACAACATACAATTTCTTAATCTCCCAATAGTATGTCTCGCTGGTAAAAAATCCAATATTTCTCAAACAAAACGAACAATTATATTTGTAAAAAAAATGCATAAAATTTAATAATTGATAATATTTTCTTTACACCATATATTCAAGTTTTACTTCCAGTTGACCTGTTGGGATTTTATACCCACCATTGTTTGTAGATGAAAAGAACATCAAGATTTTCTTGGAACTTTAAAGACACAGTGAAAACATGGCCAAATAAGTTAAAAATTATCAATAAATTTTTTTACCTGTAATTTGGAATAATTACTAAGATCTGTATCAGAAATATCTAAATTAATTAATCTCATTAGTTCTTCTTGAAAATTATTCGTTGTAGGGGTTTTATTTTTAGATTTCTGTCTGGAACTTAATGATTCTTCTGATGACATGCCAGATAAATTTCTGAAATCAACACAAATATGTTGTTATCTAGAATTCATAAAAAAATGTGATATCTATTACAAATCTAAACACAATATCTCTGTTTTGATTCTTTTTAATATGTGGTTTCTGTCTATAGACTTTCATAACATAAACCATATAAAAATATTACAAATCAGGAAAATGTTTTTTGCAGTTCCAGTGCATTAAGATATCTTTGTAACATTGCTGCCTATGGTCTGTTTCACAAAACTAAGATACGATCAAAATTCTAAGAAAAAATATAATGAGTTGATACACCTAAATTTTGTGATTGACCAATATAATGACAAGAACATTAAAAACAAGTTAAGTTGGTGTGAAATAGGCTCTTGATTCAAAATATTGAGATAAATAGAGATTTAAAAACCTTAAAACAGAACCTTAAAACATGTTGTTACACAGAGTTTCAGGGCTATATGATCTTCTGACAACTGACTTATTTAACATGACTTACTTATTGGATGATCTGGGACTACTATTATTACTACTATGAGGTGAAGATACATCTAAATGATTTCGATTTTGACTAGAATTTTTTAAACGGAACATAGCTGGTGCTGATTCTTTTCTTCTTGGATGGTGAACATCATCTACAATAACATTGTTAATACATATCATCAATCTCTACTATCTTTCCAGAACAATTGTGTTCTTTCATTTCTAACTTATAAAACTTTATCAGGTTACCTTAATTTGAACAGTGTTCATTTTACAAATAATTAATAATAAATTCAAAAATATTCTGAAAAAAACATTACATTTAGATGATCTGATTGAAACCATACCTTTGTTGTTAGCTCTCTGATTTTCTATAAAAGGTCTCCTAGTTCCAATAGAATTATATAAACTTTCACTCATTTGACTTAAACTCATACCACTAGTAGGTAAATCACCAGCAGAACGGCCATGTTTTAAATCACTACTTTTACTGAGTAAATATTTGGTGTTCTGAGACTGTTTTAA